CCTGTGCGAACTGTCTCAATATTGACTTAAGTTGCAAGTATTATAAGCCTAAAAAAACCTTAAACATAATTCAAAGTTGAGTTATTGAAATGCAACAACTGTTAACCATACATAGTTAAACAGATGAATTGAAAACTTCTTTTTAAGAGTAATTTTAACCAAACCAAAACGTGACAACAAAGCCTGAAGTCACTAACTTCTAGTCTGAACCATGTTGGTAGATGTAGACTATTTAGTTTGGGTCCCCATGACTATCATAACCAATGGTTGGAGACTGTGGGTGACATGGCCCTGAATCCATCACAATGGTGTAGGGATACACACTATCTGTCTTCCCTTAAATTAAGAGGTTAAAATTGCTTCATATCTTTCTTTCTAACAACTAATTCTTTCTTCCTTATATGAAATCTTACTTTTATATATTACCACCATTGAGTTAACCACTTCTACGAATACGGTGTTTGTTATATCCGGTGAAGATTAAATTACAGGTAACTTCCAAGGACTATTCATGGACTAATATTCTATAAATATTCTTATTGTATAACTATTCAACAATTACATTATGTATATTTATATTCCTTTTATGATAAGCTTTATTTTGACCTATAATTTATTATTGCACGATTTACGGTTCTTAAGCTATGCTCAGTCTATTAATTACTGTCCCCCTCGTTCACAGCCACTTTTTGGCTTATTTGTGTACACATGTTATTTTCTATTTTATGGTACGTTGTGGTCTGTCTGATTGATATATAAACCGAGTATGTCTGAAATAAACAATCTGATCTGATTCGATTCGATTCATATTACGGAAGCTGGTAGTGTGTTCTGGACTCAAGTGGAAGGGCTCGGAGGACATAGGATCAATAAGGACGCTAAACTGCCCACACCGATTGAACGTCATTGGTTGGCCTAGTGTGAAGATTCGTATAAGTCGTATTCGGATTAGTAGATAATTCGTGTGATAGAAAAGCCAGACGTCAAGGTCATAACAGTGTTCATCTTGTTGTGCTAATGCGGTATGACAACTTGAACTGCACATATGTGCCAGGTCCTACATTGTAGCTGACTGCCTGACTGATTGAATTTTAACCGCATCATTCACGAATAATTAATGAAAGATATTTAAAAGAAAAAAAAATTTATAACGAGTTGAAGAAATGAAAAAGAAAACAAAAGTAAACTCACTCTACACCAGCATTTGTCATTAATTTTGGATTTAATGTTGAATAATTATCCCAAATAAAATCACGACATTTTAGCCATATAGAATTATTAAAAAATAATGTAAACCATTTAAAGCATAAATCACAATCATTTGATAATACAATTTGATTTTGAAATTTTAATAAAATATGATTGTTTACAATTAAATTTGGTTGAAATGTTGGCTTCAATAATGAATCCCAAATTCCTTGTAATAAATCTACTGTACATAATAAATGGCATTGAAATATAAGATAACGTAAAAGTTTTAATAATTCTTTAACTTTAATTAATTGTAGATTAGAATTTAAATTTTTCGTTGTATTCATTGAAATTGAAGATTTGGATGGAATAGATTGATCTATAATGCAGGAAATAAAATTGATGATATAGAAATATACTACTTGTAAGTAGGCATATGTAATACTAGAAATTATTATTACGCAACTTCTTATAAATAATAATGGTTGTTTTCTATGACGATATGTTAAAATAACTCTATCAATCTTAATCGGGCTCTCAAAAATAACTTTGGATCTATTCATGTCTTCTATTTAAAAAAAATGATATTTCACTTATTTCCGAGTCAGATTGACTTCTATTCAATGAAGTCAACTTCGATAGAAAGTGAAGTTGAAATTTCATTTATTGATTAGTATAGATTACAACGAGTTGAGAAGAAATAGATGCAAGATATTCAAAGATTATCTAAGATGACGTTTTCATTAAGGGAAACCAGTCGAAGAATTAGTAGACATTAGCATACAGTCACATGATCCTAGCTTAAGACTCCTCAGTGATGTACACATGTACATAATTAGTCAAATTATAGACACTTTTAACAGTGTTAGTCAAGTATGCCGGAAATTGGGAAACATTACTACAAACTCTCCAAGAAAAAAAGTCAAATCTCAAAACACTTCTAATTGGACAAGAATGAAAATCTCTTTTAAATAACTCCGATAAACCAGTGTACCACTGAGTCATTAAAAGATGAACTAAATCAAACGATTGAAAGGTCCCTAAGCAAATATAATCACTGGATACCAGTCATCTAAACTATCAATGGAACTATAGGTTTTTGATGTAAACTATAAACTAATAAATATCATTGTTCGAGAATCATTCTATTTATTAAAAGTTGACCGTTAAAACAGCGCAATTAGTTTTCAATGACAAAGGTTGATTCAGGTAATGTCATACAACTATCCTGATATTGTGTTCATTGTCTGAAAAGTATTTGTCAAAGCCTAAAAACTAAATATATGTGAAAGAGAGAGAATGTAAGTCAATGTCATTGACGAAAACACACAATAACGAAACACTCAATCTAACCTAACTAATAAAACAAATTCATGATCACTAAAACAAATTTAAGAACAACAACAAAAAAAAACTAAACGAAATAAATCTTTACACTAAAATGCCACATGATACATTTTGTTTGTTGTTGTGCATATTCATGTATTCTGTAAATTATTGACGTATTTAGTTTCTCACAGCATATTGTTTAGTAAATGTTCATCATAAATTATTTCACGATTAATTCAAATCTATGAATAGTTTATTTGATTGACTTTAAGCTACATTTTTATTGTCTGACAACTCATTATACACTATTGCTAAGAAGAGTAAAGACTACTATTTTATTGCTAGTATCTATTAGTTCTTTCTTTGCAGGATAATCTCGATGATATTTTTTCTAATTCATATGTCTGTAATAACCATGGCTTTTATCTAACTAGTTTTTATCATCTATAGCTTATCATCTCAAAGAACATTGGATTGTACTATATAAACAAGGTAGATTTTTGTAATTTGCGATTTCTGCACGTTTTATAAAACTATCCTGAAATTCCCGTCTTCTCCATTTTATACTTATGTGTGAATTATTAAAACTGAAGTGCTCTTCTAAGTAAAACATCGGTTTATTCGAGTTTACAACCATTCTCGTTCATACCAGAGAGATCCTCAATAGTTCGTGAGTAGAATTTAGTTTAAGTAAACCGGAAATCTGAATACGTAATCGTTTCTACCCAGATACAACAACTATCCAAATGATTAAACAGATTGATAAACGTATAGTGTGGTCTGCATTTGTAAAACAAGAAATAGTCTGTTTTATTCATTCAGCCACTATTTCACTACTGCATATGATCGAAACAACTAATCGAAAATTGATAATATGCACAAATAAAGAAAAAAAACCGGAAAATATAGATAAAATAAGATCTAGAAACTATTCAATGTGATGAAAGCAACCTAACTACTAAAACATGAATGATCAAACTAAGTGAAGGTAGAAAGTGCAGAGAAGGAATGGATTTATTTAACACACAAAAAATCAGAGACATCACCGATATTAAGTCATTGTCAAATATTTCAAAGAACAAGAACTTTTGTAAGTAGTACAAATCTTTCATGTAAATGATTCGACTTTTTCAAACTACTAGATCACCTATTCTCTAACTATACAATCAATGTTTTATTATTTAAGATTTATTTTAACTGATAAATTATGTAATATAATTGCAGAATATATTCATGGGCTTCTATAAAAAGCTTCAGCACTATTTGGTGTTTAATACTGGATATGGTGAGTGTGAGTAGTACAGCAGGTAACAAATGCATTCCCTTGTTTATGTTCTGCGAAAAAAAAGTGAGAAGAGTTTGCATTTTTTTTTCAATCCATACACTTAATGTGCATTATGTACAAATGTCGTAATGACAGATCCCGTCGAGAAATTTTACGAAGGAAACTTAGCAGTGTCTTATTCTTGTTGAAAAACTAATTAATATTATTTTTTTAAATATTTACTGGTCAAAGAAGGATATAGAACGAGAATTTTTTTGGAATACTGCACATTTAGTAAAAACGACCATTTGAAATCCTTTTCTTGAAACAGGTTTATTTTGTTGCTATAACAGTAGTATAACTTCATGCCAAATAAAATGACTTCCATTACTAAGCAGAAAACCAATAATAAGAAATTAGGAAATCCAGAGAACACAAATATTTGCTGATATGAGAACAAAGAGCAGAGAACGGTTGATTTATGGTTTGTTAATTACAACATCGAGATGATATCATAAAACAAAGAAAAGACGGTAAAACATGCAGTGAATAGTTACTTTATTGAAGTGACTGACAACCTCTGAAACCTTTCGTGAATGTTTTAAACAAGAGGAAGAGAGACGAGTGTGATGTCAGAAAATGGAGTATTTTAAAAAGACATTAGGACTAATTCACTCCAAATGCCCTGGTACGGCCGAAAGTGGGGAGAATCCACTCTCCTACTCCAAATGCTTTCACATGGTAACGCATATACAGCCACTGCCAGAGAAGTCCTATTCACGGCGGAAGTGTTGTTTACGAAATTCAGACTACGAAAAGCGAATGACCAGCTCTTTAACCGCGTTAGTGGACACTGAGAGTTCACCTCGGGGAGTTGGAAAACCCTGATTCCACACCAATGGAGTAAATGGTTTCCAGGATCCTAAGGAAACAAATGGCGTATGAACCAATCGTTGATCACCGGCTACCATGGAACTGCATCTGCTGACATTGATCTACTCCATTGTGGATCAGACCTTTAGGTCGAAAACTTGGGTTGTGGCCTCCTAAGAAAATCACCTACTTCGGTTTGGGCACCCGGGCAGTATCACAGCCTATACACAAATCAATTGACTTATGTGGCGCATATATATTCGGTACCCCCTTGTACTAATATTTATATGTTCAAATAAATAGACTATATAAAATCAAATTTTTTTATAACTGTACTTTATGTATTTACCAACCAGCTTTTACATAAACAACATTCAACAGTCATATGTCCTAAATAAAACAACCGTTTACTTTCAATAAATCAGTTACTAAAGGGTTAAAAAAAAAACAACAACAAAAATCAACTAGGTTAAAGAAAGTTAGAATTTTAAAAACCAATAAATCGCGCCCCCCTCCCATCATTATAGATTAATGGAAAATAAACAAACTACGTTAAATCTTATCTTCATTGACAAATTTCGACCATCAGAATTCATGATGTAACCTTCTGTTTACTATTACAAATGGATAGGTTAATACATATTAGAAAAAAAAGTCCATTTACAAAATGAATGAACAAAAGTGATAAGAATCAAATCAATAAAATATTACATGGATAAATAATATTTCTCACTAAACAATTTCAATTTAGATCGATAACTATTGATTACATCATTTAACAAATCGACTGAAATTCAAGAAACAGAACAATTGGATTTCAGGATCTATAAATCGATCTTAGACTAATCAGAAAAATAGCATAATTTCTGTGAGTTCTTTGTAAATGAGTTGAATGCTAATTAGTTTCAAAATTAGGGTTGATAAATGATTCTTTAATCTGATCGTATCTGCTAAATTGTTATGGTGGTCAGTTGAATCAACTGAGTTATATAGGTTAGAAAACTTATTCGTTTAGGTTTGGAGAGAATGGTTAGAGTTGGAGCAGTAACTTGAGGTATGTAAAAGAAGTAGTGAAGACTGTAGAGAGGTATGGAAGATGTGTAATATTTCAGACAAACAACCAGTATATGAAATGCTGCAAACTTACTACAAAGGGGAGAGAATTACAGAGTCATTCTTTACAGGTTTCTGTCGCCTGTGGTATGAAAAGTATGAAGTGAACACATCAAAAACTACTCACAAAAAGGCTGTGTGATCGGTCTCAAGTATTTAGTAGGTGTAGACTACCTGGTTGGGATCCACGAGATGATAGCAACCGATGGTTAGAGACCTTGAATGACATGGCTCAAAATGGTTTGCGGTGGCACAGGTTCATCCACTCTTTGTGTTCTCCCGAATTTATGCTCCCTAAGCAAAATCTTCAAACTCTAATCTTTCCGATTACTGCTTATACTCTTACTACCTCTAGCACTATGGGATTTGAATGGACAATTGTATCTGTGTGCTAATGTGGTATGGCAACTCGAACTGATGTACGTACGTAAGAAGTTGTAAGTTGTTGCTGACTGACTCAAGTATTTGTATCTTGAAATCATTGATCACTCTTCTAAGTCGTTAAGACCACCTCAAACACAGTTTCTTTTTCAAATACCTCAAGAAGTATCTCTCCATGATATGGGCAACTAAGAAGTAAGAATCAGGTTAATAACTCTAAGATCACTCGAGATAACCATATTCATAATTACATCCCAAATTTATGACAACCAATTCAGAGATGGGGAGAAAACTCCAGATTTCGGAAGCGTTCATTTAATAGCCACATTCGGTGTCACAATTCAGTTGATTTCATGATTACCTCCACGTAAGATGTGTTTGGCAATCCAAAAGTTATTGAGTAGGAAATATCTTTGGAACCTATTCTTAACAACGGTTCATGAACCCTTTGAGTTAGAGTAGCATAATATCAGGAATATATCTAAAACGGCTATCGCTAGGTCTCATACTGCTTATGAAGGATAGTTAGTATATGATAGGCGCAACTGCCCAAATGTTTTCGTATATTTAGACGATGAAATGAAATGAATGAATCTCTTTGCTACAGATGCACGAGAATAAGATGAGATTAAAGATGAAGGTTTATCAAATATATTACCATCGCTTGTGACTCAGTAAGCCGTTTATCAATTGCATAGTTCCTTAAAACTTAGTAAGTCACTGGGTTACACTCAAAACTGTTGTCGTCCCTAACTGACATTATTTCAGCACCACTCATACCCTTGTTAATATGTCCATTTTTCGAACCTAACTCACAAAGGCATTGGAAAGATGTTATCATTAGCCCTATATTATTTAAGTATGAAAAGAGATAGACTGTGTACAACCACCGACCTGTCACTCTAGCACAGTATTTGAGGTATTGAAAAAAATAATTAACGGTAAGTTATTTAGTCATGAAGAATCCTAGATATTGACTCCACAAAAACAGAAACTTCGTGAGATTCAAGCTTAACTAATCAATTAATTGCAGGAGAAGAATGGACAGCAAATCAAAATAACGGCCCGCTTGTCGACACAATATTCAGAGATTTCAGTAAGGTATTGGCAGACATATGATTCAGTCAGTCAGTCAGTCAGTCAGTAACAACATAGAACTTCGTACGTACGCACATCAATTCGAGTTGCCATACCACATTAGCACACAGATACAATTGTCCATTCAAATCCCGTAGTGGTAGAGGTAGTACAAATTGTTAACATGTTCAATCTCAATGCTTCAGTTGGGACTAATCATCTCTGAGGTCGTCATAAAGTTTCAAAAGCTGCGAACGAACAACCGCAGAGTGGAATTCCGTTTTTACCATCAAGCAGTTGACGAGTGGAACGCCCTACTAGAACAAGTAATATTAGTACCATCGGTGAATACTATTAAGGAGAAGCTGGTTCCTCATTAGAAAACATACTGCAAACATTAACACCAGTTGACCGACCTACTAACCGTATTACCAAATACTGGAAGCTCGCTCTACTTCTTTCATCCTTACTATCAACCATTATCTCTTCGACTTCTTTCACATATGCTACCAGTGCTACCGACCCAGGTGCATAAAATACTGTCTTAGGTCCTCTGAAATTTAAGACGGTCTCAATCTATGAAAAATAATAAGTCATCTGTATTCCCATTGAGTTGAATAGTTATGAAATTTCATGAATCCACTAAGGATAGTAACTAGCTGTAACACTTGTTGTAACATATGTGACATATGCCGATTCACTGCTTCACTTAAACAAAACAGTTAAACGTTGTATTTTGTTTGTGAGATCCGAAAATTATGATCTGAATTCTCACTGATGATCGGCTCCTCAGACATAACAATGACCAACATAATACAAAAGACTGTGTAGTAATGACGAATACATCAATAGAATATATATTTTTGTTTTGCTTATGAATATCGAGTACAATTTTGACTAATAAATTAGCTTGTATCTTGATAGTTTAACTATTCAGTGAAGCGGTGGCTCAATGGTTAAAACATTCGACTTCTAGATATTAAGTCGTAGGTCTGAACATCACCTTACTTACTTCAGTATGATCAACTGGCTATTACCACTAACCCTTATCACACAGTGTGTGGCTTGAAGCTAATCACCTAAATTCACATTTGGTAAATGAGTTTAACTATACTCAACAATAGATATCGATATAAATATGAACACTCCCAATCGTGATGAAATATAGTTAAGTGTAATATAATATAATTCATAACTTACTTTTTATTATTACATTTAAACGTTCTTCATGTACTGACCACATTGTTTGTATGATACAATCTACAGCTGCTTTTAAAACATTATGTCGTTGATTTATACTTTGAATTAAAGTATTTTCATTTGATGAACCCTAAAATGCATTTAGACACTTCATTTATGGATGGTATAAAATGAGGAGAGAATATAAGTATAATAGAACAATAACAAAACGAAACCATGAAGATAATCTTTATTAGCCGTGAAATAATTGAAGGTATGAGATATGATGAACCATTGGACCGATACTGATTCAGTGTGATCTGAAAATAGCTCACCTGTGCCCCATCGACAATGTATCACTAATTGTAACTAAAAACAGCTGTTCGATGTTAACTTGTTTTCCAACAGATATTTTACATAATTAATGTAAATTCTGAAATTAATTACAGAATGCATATTGATTTACAGGGATGATTAGGTTGATACAAATAGCAAAGTTAGATGTAAAAAAATAGATAAATGATTTTAGATTGTTTGAAGTGTTGTAGCACGAAAATTGTTGAGGGAGTACATTTTTACATAGACCACAACAATGTATGGCATTAGCTGGGAATTGAAAATAGAAACTGAAAGTCACTGGCATGTTATGTCACAATCCAACCGATTAAATTAAATTACATGATAGTCTATTATGGCAATTACTGGTTTATCAAGATTTTCAAACAGTTTCGCGGATGACTTGACTATATAAACTTTGACTTCACAAGCGTGGGTTACCTAGATATCAATATGTATTAAATAAACTTGAATACTGAAGATATATACGTGCATATCGCTTTGAAACTATATTTAAATATTCGGGACGTATCTTGTTTAGATTTGACGAAACTAAACAAAAAAAGTCAGATCCCGGCCATTCACCTTAATTAGGTACGTAAAATTGAGTGAATACATAGGCAAGAAAAAGGATACTCCGCCTTTATTCTCTTTCTTTCCGTACGGAGGATCAACCCAAGGGATAGAAAACACTAGTTCCAAATCAATGGTATACAAGGGCTCCAAGATTCTGAGAGAACAAAAGGCGTACAAACTTATTGCCGATCACCAGCTAACATGGAACTACATATCTTAACGTTGCTACACTGTCTTGTGAATTTGACCTCTAGGTCAAAGGCTCGGGAAGTACTCACCCCAGAAAGACACCTGTTTCGGTTTGGGTGCCCGGATAGTATTCCAACCCACGCACAAATCGAATGATGATTACAGCTAAAAAATTATTCTCACTTTAATTTGCATTATGACAAACTATATTCACAATCATTTCGTAACTTTTGTTTCAATAGTATGTTCCGTTACTTGTCTACTCCCTTTTGTTCTTTTATTTCTCAGTTTATACAGCAGCTCACCTATGATGGAAACTATCTAAATGATCTCAAATCACTGACTCGTCGAAAGTTGAATGCTACCACAGAATACTAATACTGAGACAGGATTTCTGTAACCACGAATCTCACTCGAACTGGCCTCTTTAACGTTCGCACACTAATGCAGATCGAACAACAGATAGAGTTGGCTGCGTCTTAGGAAAGTCTTAATATCAATGTCTGTCGTCTATCCGAGACTCGTATTCAAAATTCTATTGATCTACTACAAACTAGCTCTCCACCTGTATCTTGTTTATCCGAGAACCCTGCGGCATCTTCGTTTGGCTTTGCTGACGTTCGTGTCTCACTAAGCGCTAGAGCTGAGGCAGTGCTAATCGATTGGATCCTCATTAACAGTCGGTTATGTGTTGTTGGATTAGAAAGCTCCATCAAAGTGAGAAATCGGCATGAGAAACGATGCCTTTTCGTCATCTCCGCCTATGCCCCGACAGATTGCAGCCCGGATGCAATCAAGGATGAATTCTACCACCAGTTATCTGTTCTTCTACAGAAAGTGCGTCCGACAGATATTGTAGTACTAGCTGGAGACTTGAATACTCAGGTCGGGCGTCTAGACACAAAAAAGAATCGTTGAGGTGGCCGATGGGGATTTTTTGGTGGCAGGACAGATAACGGTGACCATCTTCTACGTCGTTCGTGTAACAACTATCGGGTGATAAGTCTACTTCCGATTGAGTCCAAGCTATTGGCTTCCGTCATACTTCGTAGATTGTTCAAAACCCGAGAAAGATTGACTCACGAGGAGCAGGCTGGTTTTCGTTCTGATCGAGGATGTACTGATCATATCTTCACCCTCCGCCAAATGTTAAAACACCGTCATACTTATCAAAGGCCAACAATCGTAGCGTTCCTTGACATCAAGGCTGCCTTCGATTCGTTGGACAGGACTGTTCTCTGGGATTGTCTATTGAAGACGAGTGTGCCTGAGAAGTTTATTAACATCTTAAAGGCCCTATATACAAACACCTCAGGCAGAGTGAGGACATACAACCACTTCTCTTCATTGTTCCATTCGAGCAGTGGGGTTAGACAGGGTTGCCCAATCTCACCGTTCCTCTTCAACTTTGCCATCGATGACATTCTGGAAACAGCTCTGATGGATATAGGTAATGGTGATGTGGATCTGTTGACTCGAGAACTTTGTGACTTTGGATGTGCGGATGATATGGTCTTACTAAGCGATGATACCCAAGGCATGTAATACGCACTTAATCAGTTCGCAGTCAGTGTCCGTAGGTATGATATGTGCTGTGCACCTTCCAAGTGCAAAGTACTTCTACAAGACTGGCAAGATCCTAATCCTGCACTCACCCTGGATAGTGAGCAGACAGAAGTAGTCGAGAAGTTCGTGTATCTGGGTAGCTGCATAAGTGCTGGTGGGGGTGTGAGTGATGAGATAAATTCACGTATAGTGAAAGCCAGAGAGGCTTATGCCAATCTGAGCCAACTTTGGCGCCTTCGCGATGTTAGTCTGGCTGTAAAAGGTCGGTGAGGGTAGTCTTTCTCTGTGCTTGTGAGACCTACCTTCTTCGAGTTGAGGATATTAGATGACTCCGTGTTTGATCAACGTTGTCTTCGGAGGATTGCTGACATCCAGTGACAACACCATGTCAGTAATGCAGAGGTTCGGCATCGTGTGTTCGAGTGCAGATACGATGATCCAATTGGTGTCACCATCTTGAAAAATCAACTTCGGTGGCTTGGACATATTCTACGAATGTCGTCCTACAGAATTCCACGTCGTGCATTATTTGTCGACTCTGGGACTGGTTGGAAGAAGCGGAGAGGTGGTCAGTGCATGACATGGTGTCGTGGTATGAAAGAAAGCTGCAAAGGGCTGACTTCTGTTGGTCCTTCACGACTCCCTGGCTGGGGTCCAAGAGGTGGCGCGACACAGTGGCTAGAGATGTTATCAAATATGTCTCAGAATAGAAGTCAGTGGCGACCCTGCTGTAACTTTCTTCATAAAAAATGAACGTGACTTGTTTAACTGGAAAAAATCTTTCGGGTTGTACTTCTCTAAGCTTAACTGCTTCTCCCATTACTATTATTATTATTGCTAGTATTTCACTCATACACTAATTTCTGCTGAATGTTGCTCTTCTTTTTATTTTATATACCCATTCTCTATCTTTTACCAACTTCATTGTTAATGTGTTGCGCACATATATTTGGTGCACCTTTGTACCAATGTTTATGAGTTCAAATAAATAAATAAATAATCTCTCTTAATAATTTGACTGAGATGCTAAAAGCATTAGCGCTATCTTTTCCTCGAAAGTACAGTTGAGATAATATGAGAACTTTTCACACATATACACACTGCAGACAGTACTGATAGCGATAAATGGACAAACACACGCACATGTACACTTATGCAGACTAACAATAAATGTAAATGACTGCGGAATAAATGAATATTTTTTGAGATTTCAATCGATAAAGACAAAACCTAACTGTAATCATTTGACAACAAAAATATGGTGAGAAAGGATGAGTTAAGGACAAGTGATTTACGTTGGAACTTTTATAGGAAACAAGCTGACAATCTAACAATACATGTAAAAAAAAGTAGACAATATTAAGAAATCGGAAATGAATACATAGTAATTATGAACAGTTACTTAAAATACACAACTTAAGTGGATTGAAATAACTCTTTCATTAAGTCAAAGATGAATTATGAAGATATATATATATACATATATCAGTTCTACAGGAAATCAGTCGTTGCACGAATACCTTATTGGAATAGGTCGAACAGGCCAAAACGCGCGTCCTGGTTACCATTACTAGTCAAAGTTCATCTATGCTATAAAAAATATTAAGAACGTTTTCATTGCTGATTAATGCCAACTAGTGAAAAATAGGGACTTCATAACAGTGACCATCCACGAACAAATTACCAAGAACAGAATCAAAGACACTTGGGCTTAATAGTAAATATATTATTACTTAGACTCAGTCAGTCAGCAACATACAACTTCGTACATACGTACATCAGTTCGAGTTGCCATACCACATTAGCACACAGATACAATTGTCCATTCAAATCCCATAGTCGTACAAGTAGTAAAATTATAAGCAGTAATCAGAAACATTACGGTTTCAAGATGTTATTCAACCAGTATAATACAGTGAAATAAATTTTGAATGAGAAAAATGAAAGGGACATGAAGAATTCAGAAGATTAGAATTTGGGAGAACACAAAGAATGGATAAACCTGTGCAATTGCAAACCATTTTGAGCCATGTCATTCAGGGTCTCTAACCATCGGTTGCTATCATCTCGCGGTCCCCAACCAGGTAGTCTACACCTACCAACATGACTCAGTTCACTTGTCAGTGACTTCATGGACTGGTGCCATGTTTTGGTTTGGCCGCCCCTAGCTTTCTTCCAACCTACTCCTATACCACTGAACATAGCACGTCGAGGCAGTCGGTCGTTGGGCATACGTAACACGTGTCCCAGCCATCTCAACTGATGAAGTTTCACTACTTCATCAATTGATTTGCCATTCTTACCTAGTACCCGTTTCCTAACAACTGCATTAGTTACTCGGTAGTCCCAGGATTGACGAGCAATGTTTCGAAGACACCTATGATCGAATACTAGTAACCTACGAATATCCTCTACTCTTACCGGCCATGTTTCACTGCCATAAATTAGGACGGAACGAAATGCTGCGCAGTAAACTCATCCTTTGGTTGGTAGGCGGATACCTCGCCTACGCCATAAATGACGCAAGTTGGCAAAAGCTAGTCGAGCCTTCTGTATCCGTGCTGTAATTTCGTCACACACCAGACCATAAGGGCTGATGAGACTAATTAGTTGGAATTCTGTGGTCTATCGTTCAACTTTAATGATTCTTCAGTTGACGTTAGTAGGTAATGAAACTCCTTTCATACATCACTGATTTTTACAATTCATCCAACTAAGCATATATACAATTATTGTATATCTTCGACTGTTAGGGGAATTAATTTTACTATTCTGCTGAATATTTCATCAGCTTATAAATAACTTCGAATACTCAAAAGTACAAATTATGCAAAGGAATATATTTCTTTTCAATTAATTCTTTTAATCATAATACAGTTCTATGCCGCTGACATAAAGGTATTCCGCCCTTATTTTTTAAATAGACCACGCAAACTTAATAGTGAGTTTCCTGTTAACAAAGTTTATAAATGTCAAATACTCAATCAAGTTAAATATTAAAACTAATTTGAAAAGATTCCGATTTAGGAAAACATAACCCACAAGTCCAGAATTTAGCAAAAGTAAAGAAGTTGTAGAAAAAATGAAACATTGTTAGTTATATTCAACGAGTTGTACAATATGAATTATTGATTCATAAGATGAATGAATAGTTTCTTGCAATTAAATAAACAAATGGCAACACATTACATACATGGCATACATTACATAACTGAAGAAAAAAACACAATTCGTAATATAGGGGAAGAATTAATTCAGTTGTTAGGTGGTTTACAAAGAATAACTTCATTTGAAGTAGATTGATTACATGATGGACTGAATCACTGACACATTGTTGTATGGGACTCCACAACGATCCATACTCAGCAACCATATATTAGGTCAAACTCAGGACTTTCAGGTCTCTCACAGACGTATCCGATGCCCCCTGATTCTCAATGTTAGTCTAACTAGAGTCAGTTCGTGATGTAAACTACGAAGTTCAACAACCTCTACAAACCGTCAACACTAGTAACCCAATTTGAAATTGGTTTGAAATTATCTAAAAAGGGGCACGAGATCGAAGCTCCAACCTTTAGATTTAATGGTAGTTGAGTTTAACCACGTAGACAGTGAGACGGCTACTATTATCATTAATGGCACTAAACGATCACTATATCATATCATATTACTGACCAACGTTAGAAATGTGGAAGATTTGGATTCCTGCTAATTCGGTTTGAAGGTATGTAATAGTCAACTGGAGACCTTAGGATCCTTAATTAGATTAAATGTACGAGCTCATGGCTGTATACTGTGAATATGTCCTCTAAACAAGGACGGTGGAATTGTCTAACTGTGGGGACAAATCCCAGTGAACTCAAGGAAGCTCTGAAAAAGCTGAATATATTCCACCCGACCATCTTTTGGAAGAACATTCCAGAATTTCTACGTGTAGCTTCACGATTAGGCAAATGCGGACTGGATAACTGTAATGACGATATCGTTTTTAGTAAAAACTATAAATACCAGAGTGTTTTGTACCATATTTGACTGGTTGGAATAAGACTTTGTCTTCTAAATTAAGATTTGAAGGGTTCAGGCGTCCGAGTGCTCAACTTCTAGATACAACACTAACAGTCCTTGGTTTTCAACGGTTTATCACCTACTGATACCAGTCCAAGAATAAAACTATCTTCAAGATCAAGTTTGTAAGGCTTTGAGGATGATACACATTGAGAATATTGCCAGTTGGTTGGAATTAGTTCGATCGCCAGAAAAGTAACACACATCACTAATCAGTGACCAACTATAAAGAATATAGATGTAGAAACTTTTTGAACTAGATTTTTACTGAAGTGGCGAATAGGTGTATTTTCGAAGTACGTTGAACGTGAGTGAATTTTCAAAGCTAAGAATAGTTGGAATGTATTATACAACTGATAGCTTTTAAAGCCACTACTTTTAGGTCAATTTTACAAATCGTATGAATCAAATATGAAGGTAAAACGCTTCTTCGCATCTTTATTTATCCCTTGATCAGCAATGATTTCTTCCCGAAAAAATTCATCGACTGAGTTACAGATGAACACAGCTTTGAAAAACCCATGAGTGTTCAGATATTTGCAGCATCATCGATGGACGTGGAGGATCCGATGCAGACGTAAATGCAAGGATTGGCAATGCATGGGCAGCATTCCTACAGTTCAAGAACACATGGAACTCAAAACAACTGTCTTTAAACCAATCATCAATACGAACGTCAAGACAGTTCTGCCGTACAGAGCTGAAACGTGGAGAACTACCACAACCATCATGAAAACGGTACAAGTATTTATAAACAGTTGTCTACGTAGGATACTCAATGTCCGTTGACCGGATACCATCAGCCATAGTCTACTGCGGGAGATGCACCAGCTTCCAGTCGAAGAGAAAATTAGGAAAAGACGACGAAAATGGATAGGTTATAACATTGTGGAAATCACCAAACTGAATTACGAGGTAAGCGCTAACTTGAAATCCTGAGGGGAGACGGAAGAGGAAGGCCAAAATACACACTGCGCCGAGAATTAGAAGCAGATATGGAAAGGATAGACCAGGACAGAGTTCGATGGAGAATGCTGGTGGACGGCCTACGCTTCTCTATGAGGGGTAACAGATGTAAGTGTCATATCCGGACGAAGAATAAGTCAATGATAACTGCTAGGATCTATTCATGAATTCTTATATATATACTTATTGTTTAACTATTAAGTAACTATGTTATATGTGTATTCATATTTCAGTTATTTTAAGCTTCCATCTGACATATGGACTACTATTATATGATTTACCATTCTTAGGTTATTCCCAATTTATTAGTTTCAGTATCTCACACTCATAAACACTTTTGGCCTGATCTTGTATAATTGCTATTTTCTATTTCATGGTATGATGCAGTCTGATTTGCTTGCATATGAACTGCGTATGTCTAAAATACATGATTCACACAGCAGAAGCTGTGTTCTGGACTCAAACAAGTAGGGCTAGGTAGTAAGATCAACCAGGGCTCATAGTTGACGCTAGACTGCTCGTACTGGTTTATGCGTCATTGGTCTGGTCATATAAGTTGATGTTTCTAATTGGCGATATTATCATGTGACATATTCGCAGGTCATAAGGACATGACAGTAAGTAATTCAGATCTTTGGAATGTCACATAAACAAAAGGATTATTGGGAATCGACAATATATCCTTGTGAAATTCCAGAAACAATACTAAACTTTTGGTCGCTTAACTTTACAATATATATTTAGCGTTTTCGATGTAATGTACTGACTTGATCAGTTGAACAGGTTGACAACTAGCAGTTTTGATGTAACCAGGTTATATGTTAAAACAACAAGTCGCTTTCTATAAAAAAAAGATTATTGGGACGGGGAGTAAAGTATACAATCAAACCAAAATAGACGAGTCAAATCAATGATTAGAGGAGTAAAATTACCGTGTTGTAAAGGTTGGCAATTTCAATGAATTGTTTTGCAGCAGGTAATAAACAACCTTCATCGCTGTTTGGTTCAATTTTCAAATAACTTGCAAGCTTCCCAAGCCAAACACTCCGAAGTTGACATAAGAATGGCTGCCGAAATGAAACAGATAAATATAATGAGAAAAATATGATAATTTTTATCAGGTAAAATGTAAAAAAGAACATCTTTCGGTGGAATTGCGTTTTCTGAACTGGATGACCTAATCATCAAGCCTTCATTATCCTTCTGATCAGCATCATTCATCCATATATGACTGATAAACCGTTTTGTCGACCTTGATCTTGATTGGTTATTGTTTTTTATCTTGTAGACAAATATAAATATATAAACTGTTCTAAATGCAAAAAACACCACAAAGGACAAATTAGATCCCTTTCTCATCTTCGCATGAATGAACATTGATTAGCGATCAGACGCCACGATATATCTTCGCTTGCATCGATGTTCATAAACAATCATGGACACATTCGAGGGAAAAAAATGTTGAAATCCCGGATAGAGGGAATAAGAAAAACACCAAAGTATTTTACAGATGCTTGGCACACAGTTCAGTGAGCAGTCAACAAACACATAGAAATCGATTCAATTTATCAACCAATCAAGAAAATTATGGGCAAATATAGCACCGACAAGCAGATCAAAGGGAGATACAATCAAAATAAAGAGGTAGACAACGACAGGTTAAAGGTAAACAATAACCAATCAGAATCGAGATTAACATGACAAGCTGTAGATCATATGTGAAGAGGTTCGAGTACTTCACTTGGACCGGACGTTTGTGATGGTGAAAGCCCCACGACTAAACCATCATAGGACAAAACTCTACCAGAATCACAAATTCAACCGGATTTTCGCTTGTTTATTTCGTTTTATATTTGCAAGTCATAGATTAGTGTGTAACCTTCTAGAAAGTCTAAATCGGAAATGTGTTCAATTTGTATACCAGACATAAAAAAATTTCAACAGTTAAAATAATGAATGTAACGTATGATAGAAAAACTGAAATCCTACAACAAATTTCGATTTATAATACATTTCATTCTTGCTACTGAAAAAGAAAAACTGAAACAGATTGGTGAAGATCAATTTGAATACAAAACTTTTTTTTCTCTGGAAATAATCATTATCACTAAAGAATATGAGAAAACAATAACTATAATAAATTAATACAATTTAACTGAAAGTAATATGGTAACATGATAATAAGGCGGTAAAATCCGACCAAAAGCCTCCCCTAAGGCGTTGTTGGGTAGTGAGGGAAACCTCACTAGCTAACTTGAGCAGTCGAGGAATATCGGAATGATCCATCACTCTGCTGTACTCGTAATATTCAGAATCTTTATTTCAAGGCTCTAACAATCTAACGTGATACTAACCCTCCTCACACCGCCCATTTGAAATTAGTGTGGAAAAAAAGTAAAAGAATAGCACTGATTGTTTGGTCAAATACACAATGAACTTAGCATTGTATTATTATTTATTAATTATAATTAAAAATAAAGGGAAAAAGCAGGATATAACACTCATTTACCTTATTATTACAACTAAGAATTTTTGCATGTGATTTAAGTGAAGCATTCATTAAATCAGTAGAAAATTTCAAACTGATAGCCCAATCCCATAGAAGATCTAATGTTTTTTGCATCATCATACCATCTGTATCTTGTTCAGCTAACATTGTAATCAAATCAATTAAACGTTCACGTTGACGTTTTGTTGCTTTTTTCCAACTTTGCTATAATATATATGAAAAGTCAGAAGAATACTTGAGTTAGGTATCAAATTTACAATGAATATTGAAAATGATATAATTTGGTATGATTAATCGACTTGGATGAATTTGTTACAAATATAGTTTAAATATTAAATTGTTAATTGGCACGATGAACACAATAGAAGCGTTATTAGTTGCTTGGTAACCCGTATTCTTGACCTTAATTCGAGCACTTTTAGAAGAAAATGGGCTGCTAACACTTTTTACTTACACACGCTGCTAAAATATATAACTCTTCAACGAACCTAGAAAAAAAAAGATTAATAGTGATGGTTTTGTCAAGCTGGACGCGTGACAGAGGAATCCTTATTGTTAACTCCAGAAATCTGTGGAGCAAAGTGATATAATAGCTACTTTTAGATCGGACCTTTCTAATCACTTCTTTCGCGGTAGAAAGACAGTAATAATGAAGATATTAGCTATTCGCCAGAAACATCTTACTGCCATCACATCTCAATAGTACAATCGACAATAAGAATTCATCACCAAACCTACAAATACTAAACAACTTTTTATATGCACTTTGTACATTTACATCCAGATAATCAAAAGATAACCTCGACAGCAGATCATTCATATAAATCAGAACTAAACATTCAGTGAAAAGGTTGATTATGAATAAAGTGGTATTGGGTGCTGTTAGAAGTATAAAGGTGGTTATCACACCCTGGTTGCCCACACCGTGGAAGGGTTCTTCTGGAGGTACCTGAAAAGGAAATTGGATTAGAAGTGGTCTTAATGAAGTGAGAGCGTGACCGCAGTGCCCAAGGAACAACTGCTTGAGGTCGGTCACATACGACCGTTTTGTGAGTAGTTTTCGTGCTATCTCCATACTTGTGGAGACCTTACTGCCGGAGACGGATATCCGTGGGATAAGGCGAGGTGTGCATTTTTAGGGTCAACCTTTTCTAACCCCACTCCTCCTTGTGGGAAGGCAGTATCACTGTTATGCTGGTTGTCTGAAGGAAGCACCTTATTGCCGTCACACCTCTGTACAGTCAGCAGTACGACTTCGCCTTCGGACCTTGGGTTTATTGCTTTTAGTCTTATCGCTCTTCAACCGACCTGTCTGACATGTTAGGACCTTGAGGAACGATTGTTTCAGCCAGTATAGCTCGATCGGTTCATCACGATAGGTAAGCCCGACCACCACATCAAGGTAGCAACAACAGTCGGGGGAGGAACTAGACAGTAATGAGTATTACAGTCCTTACATAGAATTCGGGAAAAATAAAGTAATACTTTTAAAAAATTCTCATAAATTCATTTAGAATAATAAAACAACAAAAAACTACCTTAAAACAATTAAATAAATAATTTAATTGATTCATTGAAAATTCCAATGCTAAACGAGTTAACATATTGAATATATTTTTAATGATAGTTTCATGTTTACCAATTTGTGATTCCCATATAATATCTAAATCATCTGATGTTAATAATAATTTTCTAATCATAAAACGTATTATCTCTTCAACTTTTTCCACATATTGTAATTGATGCAAATTTTCACGAAGTAATAATTTTAATAACTGTAGATGAAGAGAAAGAAAGAGAGAGAGTAATAGGATAAAACAACAACATCAAATATTGAGGAGTAATATCGAGTGTTTTATAATGTGAAACATTATTACTGCTAGTTAATGCAACATCATTCACTATCTACAGGTTTGTATATCTACTCAAATTTAAGCCCCATTGTTTGTTTCTCTCTGTGTGTGTGTTTGTGTGTGAAGGTTGATGATAATATACGACTGTGAATATCGTAGTAATCAAAGCTGAGTTCGAACATCTACCCTAAATGTCTAAAAGGTGAACACTTCATCAACTAACATACCGTTCACTATAAAATTTTGTTTAAAATTAATTTTATATACTTGGTGATAAATTTATCAAGTTTGAAGAGACCGATTTGCCTATTCGATATGTTTGAATAAGGTTGTGGAGATTACCAAATTGTTTTTATTGAGATCATGAACTGATTGATGTTAGACCACCTTTGAAAACCTGAAAGCACTGGACGGTTGTTTCGTTCCATTGTGGGACTGCTCACACGTGCACATCCACGATCTTGCGCGCGAACACGAGAATATACTTTTTTCAAATAAGTCAAGAGACTTTAGTAGTACAGTGAAAATGTACATTGCCTACGTTTATTGAGAACTTTTTTACGTAACCTAGTAACCAATAGCAACATTTTCAACTCAAATTGGAGTCAAATACTTTCCTAAGTACCAACTATCCAGCCGTTTGAAAATATTAAAATAAAAAGAGTTTTAACCAACAGCTGTAACGATTCAAAGTCAAATATTCTTGCGATGTCAATCTGGATGTAAAAGGTCGGATCTATAACGCATCGGTGAGAGCAGTTCTGCTTTAAACTTGTGAAACTTGACCTGTCCGAGTTGAGGATGTTAGACGACTCTCCGTGTTTGATCACCGTTGTCTCCGAAGGATTGCTGACATCCAGTGGCAACACCATGTCAGTAATGCAGAGGTTCGGCATCGTGTGTTCGAGTGCAGATACGATAATCCAATTGGTGTCACCATCTTGAAAAATCAACTTCGGTGGCTTGGACATATTCTACGAATGTCGTCCCAGAGAATTCCACGTCGTGCATTATTTGTCGACTCTGGGACTGGTTGGAAGAAGCGGAGAGGTGGTCAGTGCATGACATGGTGTCGTGGTATGAAAGAAAGCTGCAAAGGGCTGACTTCTGTTGGTCCTTCACGACTCCCTGGCTGGGGTCCGAGAGGTGGTGCGACACAGTGGCTAGAGACGTTATCAGATAGGTCTCAGAATAGAAGTCAGTGGCGATCCTGTTGTAACCTTCTTTTACTTTCTTCATAAAAGTTGTTGTATCGTCCTTAACTGAAAGATTTCTTCTGGTTGCACCTTTCCGTTTCCCCTATTATTATTATTATTATTATTATTATTACACTACCTTACACTAATCCGGTCGTTATTGTTCTTTTTCTTTTATCCTTCATACCTTCATTTTTCTCTTCCCATTCTCATTGTTTTGTGGGGCGCATACATATTTGGTGCCCTCTTGTACCAATATTTATATGTTCAAAGAAAAAATAATAATTTAAATCCACTAGTTAGTCAAGATAGATAGTTCTTCAAACTTCCCGAAAAAGTAGCCAAACGCTTTAGCGGTAACTATGCAAACTAGGGTTACCGACCCCATCCCTTAGAAAACTAACTCAGTAAAAAAACGCTAACCAGAAGAAAAATATTCAAACATTTTGAACTCTGCCCTGGGAGTCAGAAGGTCTTCATTTAGAAGAACTATGACGCCTCATGATGAAAGCCGAATTCCTTCGGAAGTTACGAGGCCGATGCCCCTTCTGACAACCAGAGCAACCATTTATTTAGGTACATGAAATACTCGTACAATGTGGGACACCGGGAGAGTCTTCCAAATTGCTGCAGAAATGAGGAGATACAACCTAGAGGTGCTTGGGATCAGTGAAACACATTGGACGGAAGTTGAACAACAACGACTAGCTTCAGGAGAGCTTCTGTCATACTTCGACCATGATGAAGAAAATGCACCACATACACAAGGAGTTGAATCTCATGGACCAAGGATCATCAAAGCCTCCTTCAAAACAAAAAAAGAGGGTATTTCAATGAACATCATCCAATGCTATGCGCCTATCAACGACTACAATGAAGACGATAAAGATCAATTCTACAATAGGATGCAGTCAATCGTTGAGAAGAACCCAACAAAGGACCTGACCATTCTGATGGGAGATTTAAATGCCAAGGCTGGAATGGACAACACCGGATATGAGAACATCATGAAACGACACGGACTGGGAGAAAGGAACGAAAATGGTGAGAGATTTGCAAAACTATGTGCCTTCAATAAACTGGTCATAGGCGGCACCATATTCCCACATAAGCGCATTCACAAAGCCACATGGACTTCACCGGATCACACTACACAAAACCAAATCGACCATATTTGTATCAACAAAACGTTCAGGAGGACTATAGAGGACGTGAGAACCAAGAGAGGAGCTGATATAGCATCAGATCATCACTTGCTGGTCGCCAAGATGAAATTGAAACTCAAGAAACACTGGACAACGGGGCGGACAATCTCACAAAAGTTCAATATGGCCTTTCTTCAGGATACTAACAAACTCAACAAATTTAAGATAGTCCTCAGCAACAAGTTCCAGGCCTTTCATTATCTACTCAATGGAGAAGGAACTACTATGGAGAGCAACTGGAAGGGAATCAAAGAGGCAATCACTTCAACATGTCATGAGGTTCTGGGCCACAAGAAGCACCATCACAAGGAATGGATCACTGTTGATACACTGGATAAGATTCAAGAAAGGAGGAACAAGAAGGCAGCAATCAATACCAGTCGAACAAGAACAGAGAAAGCCAAGGCACAAGCTGAATACACAGAAGTAAACAAGCAGATGAATAGGAGCATCAGAACCGACAAACGTAAATATGTGGAAGACTTAGCAATGACGGCGGAAAAGGCTTCAAGAGAAGGAAACATGAGACAATTGTATGACACGACAAAGAAACTCTCTGGAAATCGCCGCAAATTAGAACGACCAGTGAAAAACAAAGAAGGCAAGGTAATCACCAACATAGAAGAACAACGAAACAGGCGGGTAGAACACTTCAAAGAACTCTTGAATCGACCAGCTCCACTGAACCCGCCCAACATCGAAGCAGCACCCACGGACCTCCCAATCAATGTTGGCCCACCAACAATTGGAGAAATCAGCATGGCCATCAGACAAATCAAGAGTGACAAAGCAGCAGGACCAGACAACATTCCAGCAGAGGCACTAAAAGCAGACGAAGCGGCAACTGCAAGGATACTCCACATTCTCTTCAATAAGATTTGGGATGAGGAACAAGTACCAAAAAACTGGAAAGAAAGACTTCTGATCAAAATACCGAAGAAAGGCAATCTCAGCAAGTGTGATAACTACAGGGGCATCACTCTTCTCTCAATACCGGGAAAAGTCTTCAACAGGATATTGTTAAACAGTATGAAGGACTGCGTAGACGCACAACTTCGTGACCAACAGGCAGGATTCCCGAAGGATAGATCGTGTACAGACCAAATCGCAACTCTACGGATCATTGTGGAACAATCAATTGAATGGAATTCATCACTCTACATCAACTTCATTGACTACGAAAAGGCATTTGATAGCGTGGACAGAACAACACTATGGAAACTTCGTCGACATTACGGCGTGCCTCAGAAGATAGTCAATATCATACAGAACTCATATGATGGATTACACTGCAAAATTGTGCATGGAGGACAGTTAACAAAGTCGTTCGAAGTGAAGACCGGTGTTAGGCAAGGTTGCTTACTCTCACCCTTTCTCCTTCTCCTAGTGATCGACTGGATCATGAAGACGTCAACATCTGAAGGGAAACGCCGGATACAGTGGACATCTAGGATGCAGTTAGACGATCTAGACTTTGCAGATGATCTGGCTCTCCTATCACAAACGCAACAACAAATGCAGGAGAAGACCGCCAGTGTAGCAGCAGCCTCAGCAGCAGTAGGTATCAATATACACAAAGAGAAAAGCCAGATTCTCCGATACAACACAGCATGCACCAATCCAGTCACAATTGACGGAGAAGATTTTGGAGATGTAAAAACCTTTACATATTTGGGCAGCATCATTGATGAACAGGGTGGGTCTGATGCAGGTGTAAAAGCGCGGATCGGCAAAGCAAGAGCAGCATATTTACAACGGAGGAACATCTGGAACTCAAAGCAACTCTCTGTCAACCAACACCAAGGTCAGGATTTTCAATACAAATGTCAAGACAGTTCTACTGTATGGGGCGGAAACCTGGAGAACTACGAAATCCATCATCCAGAAGATACAGGTGTTTATTAACAGTTGTACGTTGGCCGGACACTATTAGCAATAACCAACTGTGGGAAAGAACAAATCAGATCCCAGCGGAGGAAGAAATCAGGAAGAAGTGCTGGAAGTGGATAGGACACACATTGAGGAAAGCACCCAAGTGCGTCACAAGACAAGACCTCACATGGAATCCTCAAGGCCAAAGGAAAAGAGGAAGACCAAAGAACACATTACTCCGAGAAATGGAGATAGACATGAGAAAAATGAACAAGAATTGGATGGAACTAGAAAAGAAGACCCAGGACAGAGTGGGTTGGAGAATGCTGGTCGGCGGCTTATGCTCCATTAGGAGTAACAGGCGTAAGTAAGTAATGCAAACTATCGCGGGTTTACTTAAGAACTCGAGAAGTTATTGCCAAATGATTAACAGATGAAGCGGAATTTACTTGCTTAGTAAGATATTGCACTGGTCCAGCAGCACGTGCGATTAAATGTGTGTTCTTGACAGAATCCAAAATTTGTGCGCATAAGTAAGAAATTCCCAACGAGTGGTTGGGAAGGCCGCATACGATTGTTCAAAAAAAAACTGAAGTGCTTATATAAACTAATGAAATGTGATAACTGGAACCAATCAATTAGTCATACGTAACGTAGGACTTGGCAAATCTGAACATCAGTTCAAATTAGCATACCCTATTGACACAGCTAGATAAAACTGTCTGGGTAAATCCCAGAACAGTAGATGTAGTAACTGAAATATGATCATACAAGTCATTTCTCCAAAATAATAACCACTTAAATAATAATTTACCTTAATATCTGTAATCCACTGACCAACTCGTAATGAATTAGTATTAGGTAATAGACGAATTAATTCGTTCAGTGTGTTCATTTTCCCATTGAAAGAAGATAGCTGTAAAAGCAGAAGTTTCCTTTTTGTTTTAACATGAATCAAATAATTACCATTCATCAGTAAGTATACAAAACTTTCAAAAGTTTGGTTATTCAACGATTACAGCATGTCATACATACTATGAAATTTTTTCAAGTATTTTCTGGACTAAACCCTTTTGAATGTATATACTACTATATAATATATTCACTGAGAACTTCTGATAAGAGGAAGTATTTGTTTTTGTCCTTTCGTGAGTGACACTCTTGCAAATTCTAACAACTGAACAATGAATTTTCAATGAAAGTGATAATCTCAGAACGGTGGGTGTGTAAACAATTCAACCCTTCAATATTTCTATAGTTGAATGACACTAAATTGGACGCTAGTCATTAGTGAACATATTATCACCACGAAGTTACAGTATTTTATGGAAGCTTAGTATATTCTTGATATGTTTGTCAAAGTCAAACAGATCACATATTGACTCAAGACCATTGGATAAAGTGGATTATTTATTTAGCTAAGATTGCCGCCCACAATATCCCGTTCAGTCTAGCAACCAATAAATTTACATGAGTTATAAATGTTGTTATTCAGCTGTCAAATAAAGCACAAACAGTCTTAGTTGTCTCCCACTGAATAGCTAATTGATTGAGAGTTAGGAACATAACAATGACTGAACCAATCAAACCCCAGGTCATGAGAGTTCTACAGAATAATTTTCATTTCAAACTGATATAAGCAACGAAATTACCGAAAACTAGTTATACTCTGGCATGGATTTTCAACAAATATTTTCCGAAATTATACAATGACAGGTTGCAGTCATTGGTACTGATGTTTATTTCCTACGAAAATGTGTGGTAAACAATTTAGAGTAGTGTTGACCTACGCTGTCAATTTCAATTTAGATTCACGAGAAACTCGGTAGAGAACATTCTACAACTAGAAAAATAAATAAGTAGAAATGGGAAAGAACATTGAGTATGTATAAAAGCTTTCTTTCAATCAATGTAATTCTTTTCCTACAAAAATGTGCGGAAACATTTTATGGTGATCATTTATCATGTAGGGTGAGATAGAGGAGAAAAAACGATTATATACATACTTTGTACAGATATAACTTATTTTACAAAATCCAAGGTACATCAGTCCTTATGAATCCCAAAACACTCTTCATTTATGACGAAATACTTGTCTACATCTTTGTCTCCATTCCTCATAATAACCCATGGAGATCCTTAAAAAGCCATAGTCTTCAAATGGTTCGATATTTCACATTTTGCTGAAATTGTGCGCATAGACGAGTTTTTCTAATTCAGTTTATCAGCAATTATCCAGACAATGAGCTGACGATCAGAATAAGCGAGAGAATGCGGATGTACTAGGCAAAAAAGTGACGCAGCAATATGCAATCACCACCATAGCAACAATTTGAAACCAGAACCTTGGGTTGTCGTAGGGATTACAATACTTTTTAGCCAAATAGTTAAAATGTAATCATTCACATTCTAGATTTTAGCTAGTTTTTAGTATAGTACCGTCTTTTATTTCCATAGTTTTCCTTTAGTCGATATCATGTCGTGATGGATATTACCTCCAAGTTATGTGAGACCTTTACAAGACCAGTTAAATTCATACAACTAAGTTATGTATGATTTTACAGTTGGAAACATCTTATGAGTTAATATCAAGTGAAATACACTGCTTGCATTCATAATAAAAAGATCCAAATATTTCTTATCTACTATATACCTTGTAATAATTGTGAACAAAAATTAATTTTAAAAAACTTTCTATAAACAACACCGACTTACTCAACTTACCTGAAAGAAACGATAGATTAAATTAAGACTGAGTAATTCAATTGTCTCAATATCATCTTCCGTTGATGATGGAATACGTTTTATTAATGTACATAAAGACAGTTTCAAACTAGTGATGAAATCATCTTTACGAAGTTCCTTTTTAGTTTCACGTTTAATTTGATCATCAGTTAAATGAGACAAATAATTGACAATAAGAGTCTGTTAAATAAAAATTTCAATAATATTAATAATAATAATAATAAATTAATCAAAAGGGTGAAAATAATCCAAATCCATTTTTTCATTTTATTTTATTTAAACATAAACATTGGTACAAGGAGGCACCAAATAGATATGTACAACATAAGTCATTCGGTTTATCTGAGGGCTGGGATACTGTCCGGGTGCCCGAACCAAATCAGGTGGTTTTCTTAGGAGGCCACAACCCGAGCCTTTGACCTAAAGATCTGATCCACAAGGCAGTGGAGCAACGTCAGAAGATGCACTACCATGGTTGCTAGTGCCCAACAATTGGTTCATACGCCATTTGATCCCTCAGGATCCTGTAGTCCAGACCAAAACATAGCACAAGTCCATGAAGTCACTGACAAGTAGACTGAGTCATATTGGTAGGTGTAGACTACCTGGTTGAGGACCGCAAGATGATAGCAACCGATGGTTAGAGACCCTGAATGACATGGCTCAAAATAATTTGCAATGGCGCAGGTTTATCCACTCTTTGTGTTCTCCCAAATTCTAATCTTCTGAATTCTTCATGTCCCTTTCTTTTTTCTCTTTCCAAATTTATTCCACTGGATTATACTCCTTGAATAACATCTTCAAACCCTAATTTTTCTGATTACAGCTTATAATTTTGCTACATCTAGCACTACGGGATTTGAATCGACAAATGCATCTCTGTGCTAATGTGGTGTGGCAACTCGAACTGATGTACGTACGTACGAAGTTCTATGTTGTTACTGACTGACTGACCGACTGAGTCCATGTGCACCATTAATTTGGAATCACGGTTTTTTAACTCCCCTAGGTGGGTCCTCCGTATCCACCAACCCAGTTAAAGCACCGGACATTCGCTTTTCGTCCTCTCCATCTTGTAAACAGTAATTCCGCGAGAATGCAGTGTGTACGACTTCTCTTACAGTGGTTGCATGCACGTGGTCATGTGAGAGCATTTCGAGAGTGGCTCTCCCCACTTTCGGTCGTACCAGTGATCAGTGATAACATCCACACACTGACCAATACCTTGATTAACAATCTAAATAAATTTTTTTAGGAATTGTTCTACACTGATTTCCTCACCTTTTTTCAAGAAAAATACAGTCTTAATAAAGGTGAAAATGAATCTTCAGAGTTTTTTTAGAAACGTTTCCTTTATAAATAACAATCTAAGAGCAATATTATGGTACAACGCCTGAGGAAGGTTCTAAATTTTTTAAGATTGAATCCGATACATTAAACCCCGCATATTTACTAGGTCAAAGTCCAAGGATACTGGACATTCTCTATAAATATTCTTGTATTATTCACTGTATTGTTGTCAATAAAATTTTGAGTTTACAATATGCACTTTTTAGGAATGTCCAGGTAGAACGTTGTCCCCTATTGGTTTCTATGGTTATCCAACTGACGTCCAGTCATTAACGCATTCAAGTAATATAAGGGCAAAAAATAAATAAATATCCCAGTGACTTTAGTTTAACAACTTACCACTATTGGTTTGAAATATTCTTCAACTACTGAGTCACTTAAATAATTTGAACATAAAGCAAAAGGATGTAGATAAGCATGTATTAGACCAAGTGATAAGAATTCTGTCTGATCATTTGATTGTTGTTGTAGCTGCTGTTGTAACATATCTGTTTGTTGCTGATCCCAGTGGTACTTGTTATCTAACTCAAGGAAACGTGCTTTCAATCGATCGAATCCACTGAATCGTCCAAATAGATTGATAAAATCCACTAGAATAGGTGCATCCTTATAATTTGCATAAGAAATAGAATATTCCTTTATTTGAACAGTATTGTATAGTGTCAGAGGATCATTATTCTCCATGGGATTAGTATCTTCTTCGACTTGTTCTGGTTGTTGTTGACACGTACTGTCGTTTTCGTTTGACAATGATATATGTGGCAATAATTTAATAATATCTTCAAATCGGCATACAACATTCCTATGAACACCATAACGAATTTCGTGTGTTACACTAGTGGAAATCATACTACGTGTGTGAAACCTAAATGGAAAAGTGTACAGAGAGATAGAAAGGTAAAATAGGAAATGAAGGTGAAGTAAAAATGAATATTATACTGATTAAGAAATTGTCAATCTCGTATGGAGCATCACTAACCGATAAAATACAAACCCTTAATATAAAATTATTAGGCTACTAAACACCAGGAAAATAAAACTTAATTGTAGTAATCAAATAAAAACGAAGAAACAATCATAAGGAAATTCGCTATGATTAGTGGTATACTTACTTACATACGCCTGTTACTCCTCGTGAAGGAGCATAGGCCGCTCACCAGCATTCTGCATCCAACCCTCTCCTGAGCAATCCTTTCCAGCTCTTTCCACTTGTTACTCAACCTTTTCATATCTGCTTCTATTTCCCGACGTAATGTGTTATTTGGCCTTCCTCTTTTCCGCTTCCCTTCAGGATTCCAAGTTAGGGCTTGCCTCGTGATACAGTTTGATGGTTTGCGTAATGTATGTCCTATTAATTTCCATCGTCTTTTCCTAATTTCCTCTTCAGATGGAAGCTGCTTTGTTCTCTCCCACAAAAGGCTGTTATTGATGGTGTCCGGCCAATTGATGTTGAGTATCTTGCGTAGACAACCATTTATAAATACTTGTACCTTCTTGATGGTGATCGTTTTAGTTCTCCAAGTTTCAGTTCCGTACAGCAGAACTGATTTAACCTTCGTATTGAAGATTGTGACTTTGATATTGGTTTAAAGTTGTTTTGAGTTCCATATGTTCTTCGATTGTACGAATGCGGCCCTTGCTTTGCCAATCCTCGCCTTTACGTCCGCATCTGAACCTCCTTGTTCATCCATGATGCTTCCCAGGTATGCGAAGGATATATATGCTGCACCAGTTCAAATTGGTTCTAATAAAAGGATGCATGAATGAAAACTGACTCTAAACTGAATCATTTCCACAAACCCTCTTGATGGACACTTAGTGGCAAACCCATGTCCTAAAAATAACCACTTGGTTACCATAGAATAAATCGGAAATGGATTCCTGAAGTTCCAATGGGGAACCATGACCAATTCATTAGAATGGTGATAGAAGAATATAAATTACCAGTGATGATAGTGCTGGGTTGCGAATTAATTTGACTTGGGAACATGAACGTATGGATTCTGACCGTCAGTCAGTCAGTCAGTAACAACATAGAACTTCGTACGTACGTACATCAGTTCGAGTTGCCACACCACATTAGCACAGAGATGCATTTGTCGATTCAAATCCCGTAGTGGTAGAGGTAATAAGAGTATAAGCAGTAATAGGGAAGATTAGGGTTTGGAGATGTTATTTAAAGAGTATAATACAGTGAAATAAATTTGGAAAGAGGAAAAAAGGGACATGAAGAATTCAGAAGATAAGAATTTGGGAGAACACAGAGAGTGGATAAACCTGTGCAATTGCAAACCATTTTGAGCCATGTCATTCAGGGTCTCTAACCATCGGTTGCTATCATCTCGCGGTCCCCAACCAGGTAGTCTACACCTACCAACATGACTCAGTTCACTTGTCAGTGACTTCATGGACTGGTGCCATGTTTTGGTTTGGCCGCCCCTAGCTTTCTTCCAACCTACTCCTATACCACTGAACATAGCACGTCGAGGCAGTCGGTCGTTGGGCATACGTAACACGTGTCCCAGCCATCTCAACTGATGAAGTTTCACTACTTCATCAATTGATTTGCCATCCTTACCTAGTACCCGTTTCCTAACAACTGTGTTACTTACTCGATGGTCCCATGATATACGAGCAATGTTTCGAAGACACCTATGATCAAATACTAGTAACCTACGGATATCCTCTACTCTTACCGGCCATGTTTCACTGCCATAAATTAGGACGGAACGAACTGCTGCGCAGTAAACACGTCCTTTGGTTGATAGACGGATATCTCGCCTACGCCATAAATGATGCAAGTTGGCAAAAGCTAGTCGAGCCTTCTGTATCCGTGCTGAGATTTCGTCACACACTAAACCACAAGGGCTGATGAGACTTCCAAGATAAGTGAAGCGGTCGACACACTCAACTACTTCACTGCCTATCACTAGTTCGGGTGTCGATGTAACCCAATCCTGAAGCAACATTTTGCATTTCGAGGGAGAGAATCGCATCCCGAACATGCTTCTGACCGTGGTATAAATGCATCGTATCCACTGTGAGACTTAAACATCCTGGATGTGATCCCGTGAGTGAGCGCTGACAATGAATCATAAACTGCGACAAAACGGGTATTTAGTTCTTTTGGAGTTTTCTTGATTCTATCTTAGAAAGTTACATTAAAGTTTGTACTTGCACTACTAATAAACTAGGGCCACATATGAAAACCACTGAGTTTTTTCTCTTTACTTTAGTTGTTAAAAAGATAGACAAGAACTTACTGTGAATTAGGATCAAATAGGATACTTTCCAATTCTAATATTGCTGGGCAATCAGATTTTGCTTTTATGGAACACAGTTCAATACCCAATAAAGAATTGGCGTAAATAAAATGCTTTATTGAAGAAAAAAAAACGGTGGTAGACATAAAGCAATTAATGAATACATACTAAGATATGTGAATCCCAGCGAGTAACTGCATCATTATGAAATATTTTCTGAAAAGAACTAATTAAACCATCTGAATAAAATCGTAAACAATCTTGTGAATGAATATCTTCACCTGAAAAAATTTCAAAAAAAAGATATTTAGAAACAAACGAATATGATTACGAAACCATGTTTAGCCATATTGATTGATGCCAATAGTACAGTTTCCAGTTGTGAATCTGGTAGAACAGGTACTTGCCAATGTGGTCGCGATAACAAAGAATTTAAAGTGTTGAATGCATGCACTGGAAATAAGGTCGGCGATGGTGATTTCAGGTATGCTGAACATGTATTTTCAGTATTTATTACATCTGAAATAGGATTGTTTAGAGAGCTTTCTGATGGAGTATCGCTGCACAGTTGATCTTGTTTGCTGTTATTAACATTCATGATGAACTGAACTAAAAATGAAAAAACCGAGGTTTTAGAAGAACTGAATAAAAATGTGGAAATGTAGCTTAACACTATTTTCAAAATTAGAAAAAACTACACAATCGCATCCATTTTTCAGCAATGAATGAGCTTAAGCCAACGACTATTTACATATTTATGCACTAATCTATTAATTTATTTCAACAAAAATATTGGTACAAGAGGGCACCGAATATATATGCACCACACAAGTCACGTGGTTTGTGTATGGGCTGTGATACTGCCCGTGAGCTCAAACCGAAGTAAGTGCTTTTTTTAGGAGGCCGCAAACTGAGCCTCCGACCTAAAGGTCTGATCCACAAGGCAGTGGAGCAACGTCAGGAGATGCACTACCATGGAATCCGGTTGCCCAACAGTTGATTCATACGCCGTTTGTTTCCTTAGGATCCTAGAGATCATGTACACCATTGGTTCGCAATCAGGTTTTTACAACTCCCCTACGTGGACCCTCCGTATCCACCAACCCGGTTAAAGCGCCAGATATTTGCTTTCCAAACTCTCGATTTCCTAAACAACAGTAATTCCGTGAGAATTAATCCGATTGTCACAACTGTGTGCGAAAGCCTGCAATCGAAAATGAGGTTTATACTAAGCTATTACAGCTCTACCTTACCGTGTGCAAACGAATAGTCAACTGTCTGAATGGTAATTACAGAATGATCACAAATAACGTATAATACAACAAAGCAACTACCAACAAGTTTGCATGAACTAAGTAGACGGAATACACCTACTTAGACACAAAAACAATAAAGATCGGGTCAGTGAAGAGTCTTTTAGGCAAATTCGTTTTCAAAGCTGTACAATCAGGAATATAAATTTATTTTTCAAAATGATTGCTTGCTAACAATAATCGTGATAATAATTTCCTAGCTCTAACAGGAGTACAACAAACAAAAGCACAAACACGTTACTCTTATTAAGGAAATAAGAATGAAGTGATTAAAAGCATGATTGTTTATTTAAAAAATTATTAATTAAGACAAATGATTCCGTAACATGAAAAGATAAAATCTAATTAGGAAAGGTAGAGACAAATAATTCGGTTGGGGTGGATTAAAATATTGATAGAGGAGATAGGAGAGAGTAATGGTTTCGTAGAAATACAAATTAGGACTATATTATGAGTATAAAGTCAAAGTTATTACAGGAACGTCAAATAAAGCCGGTTAAAGTCCCTGACTGTATCACTTGATCATAAGCAACGTAACACCGACACAAATATGCAACAGTTCGTTTCCACATTACATCACCATGTCGATATGAGATCACTAGGATGAACATTGTAAGAGGCATCTAGATTACAAAACAATAAGATCATCTACGGAATTTGACTACATCCTAATGACTAGATTACAGTAATCATGCCGAAGACACCATTTTAGTAACTATACATATTCTTAACTAGAATGGAAGTGAACGTTCCAACGTCCTACAGTCTCTTTTAGACGATCTCGTGCTTCGGGGAAAACTGTTACTGGTGAATTATATCCATGTAATCGGCAGAAAAAAAGTTGCACAACCTAGACAATAATAGATATTAACCTCTACTATAACCTATCAAAGCTAAAAGGTGTGGACAAAAACTAGCCTCCAAAAGACACCATGAAGCAGAAGAGTAGGGATAGGTCTCCCTTCACGAAAAGTTCAATCAGGAAATTTGGGGTATTATAAGTACCAGAACAGACAACACTCTATCAGTACTCTGTCCTTCCCAAAGTTGAACTATAAAAATTATAGCTTGGTGTTCGATTTCTAATCACCGAGTTAAATGTTTAGACCTAGCTCCACTTTCTTCATATCAGGCACACAGCTAGCTCTAAAAATTCGTAACTCAGGGCGGTGAATTACTGGAAAAAAAGGTTCCGACCAACAACCGAATCGTTTAATATGTAGTTTGATCTGAAGATATGTTTCAACATTTTTAACACATCAATCAACCTATCATCTTTTACTCCCGAACAATTGGTCTGTAGGACTAATCATTACCTAGCTCTATATGAAACCTGACACCTTCAAAAAACATTTGGCTAGCAGTTGTGTCACTTATAGTAAAAATGAAGCAAGGACCTTTGTGAATGTGAACGACAAACCAAACTAACCACTCGGATTAATTCAAAGTAACAACCCCATGTGAAGTAACCGCGGCGTAGCGAGATATTACATTCAGATTCAAATGGTTCGAATAGTTGTGGACGGAATAGAAGAAGCTTCCATTTAACAGGCTTCCGTGTCTAGTAACAGGGGCTCACCAAATCCTCCAGGCAGGAACCTAGGTATGTTAACAATAAGAGAGGAAAAAGAAATTGGTAAATCATTGTGTGTTACTATACTTAGTCCTTAAGAATAGATCAAGTTGCTTCTTAAAGGACTCCTGGGAAGTTGCTTGGACTAGCTCATCCGGCAGCGAATTCCAGCATTTGACAACTATTAAGGAGTAAAAGTTGTGTCTACAGTCCGTTCTGCTATGTTGTGTCCTGTTTTTGGGTGTTACCCCTTAGGTTAGTGTTCGAACTAAGCTTAAGTAGGTGTTTGAGAGGATGTCTAGAAGTGGTAAGGATACTATAAGCCATTAGAATGTCATCTCTAAGACGTCTATACCCTAATGGGTAAGGGTTAAGTGAATGGAGGCGCTCTTCGTAATCTTTAAATTTGAGTCCCCGAACTAATTTCGTGGCTCGCCGTTGGATACGCTCCAGAGTGTCCTTATCCTTTTGAAGCGAGGGAGGAAATACTATATTTCCGCACTCTAAGTGGAGACGGATGAAACTATTGGGGATTATATGGAAAGTTCTTCCGTCAAACTGGTCAAAAATGCGCTTCAATGTTACCAATGCATGGTTTGCTCGAAAGGCATTTTTGTCAAAGCGTAAGACTTTAAATCATGGGGCACCAGGACTCCTAAATCTATTTCGACTTGAGATACTACTAGAGAGGAGTTTCCTAACTTATAACTGTAGTCTGCGACATATCGCAAATGGACTACTTTACACTTTGAAGTGTTAAGGGTAAGTCCGTTATCGTCTGCTCAACTTTGAAGTCGAGTCAGGTCCTCCTGAAGTGCCTGTATATCGTCTTGGTTGAGTATCTCTCTCCAAAGTTTCACGCCATAGGCAAAAAGTAATAAGTCTGACGTTACCTGTTGAGGAAGATCATTTATGTAGATCAAGAAGAGAAGAGGCGCTAGTACTGAGCCCTGTGGGGACCCCACTAGGACATTCCATGGCCTGAGATAAAGTAAAATTAACTCTAGCCTTAAAGTGTCGATTTTTTAGGTATGAAGTGCGCCAATCGATTAGAGGTGGTTTGATACCTAGCTGTTTGAGCTTATTGATAAGACACAAGTGGTTAGCCTTATCAAAAGCTTTTGAGAAATCAAGGTAAATGATATCAACCTTTCCCTTGCGATCGAGGATGCTTGTCCATCTGTCCACCGCAGTCAGCAGGTTGGTTATACAAGAGTAACCCTTCCTGAAACCATGCTGTTGGGGTGAGAAGGAATTTAAGGACAGTAGATAGTCGTTTAAACCGTCGCGTATCAGGGACTCCATGATTTTCGAAGGTATAGAGAGAAGAGCCATCGGTCGGTAACTTGAAGTTTCGCTGCGTTGATCTCCTTTGAAAATTGGTGTGATGTGAGCCAACTTCCAATTTTCTGGTAGTTTTCCTCGCCTTAGTGAGTGTGACAACATCACGCTGAGCGGCGTTGCCAGGATAGAGGCTGCTTCCATTAGTATGTCAGGATGAACCATATCCGGGCTAGGAGAAGTGTCAGCTGTTAAGTGCTGCAATTTCCGGAACACCAAGTCAGCGCTCAGGTTCACTTCGGAAAGTCCTTTGGAGTTGCAGATGAAACTTTCGTCAGTATAGTTTATGTGGGTCGGTTGAAATGTCCTAGAGTATTGTTCAGCCGAAAGGTTGGCGGCGTCACTTTCGTTGTTGGTCGGGCCGTTAAGACCTAGCAGTTGGGAAACACCAGTTCTGGCTTGACGAAGAGAGGCTGCATAACGGAATAAGCTTTTCGGATTAGAGACAAATTCATCCATAAGCTTTATCTGGTACGGAAGCCTATTTTCTCTTATATAGCCTTCGTGCATATGTTCCTTATATGTTGAGGGGGAACATCCCAATCCACCTGTTGTAGATAGTCCTGTAAAGCTGACACATTCAACCGTTTGAAATTCCAACGCAAGTTGTTGGTGGGATGTCTTAGCTCAGTTTTGCTGACGAAACTGAAAGTTATAACGGCGTGATCGCTTTCCTCAGGGGAGCCAGGATTGATAGGTTGTCAACTAGGAATTCTTCGTTTGTAAATACACAGTCTAAGCGCAATAGTGTCTGACTGTTTCTCCAACGAGTTCCCGACCTTACACTTTCGTATAATCCCAAGTCCTCGATGAAGCTGAAGAACCGAGCTTCAGTTGAGTCCTCACATCCGATGTACGTATGTTCCACGAAGTTGACTGTAAGGAGATTGAAATCCCCTAGAATCAGAATATGAGTGAAACCGAAACGCGTAGAGTGGGATAGTCCTTTCAGCATACCACTGTTCTGCTCGATGTCGACAGTGGGCTTCCTATAGATGACTCCGACTAGGCACCTCGAAATAGTAGACAATCTTATAGAGCACCATATGGATTCTTCAAGATTGGTAAACTCGAGGTTATGAACTTGGTGTACCTCCAAGCACGATCGTATGTATATGGCTACTCCACGCCAATTTCTGTTTTTCTGTCGTTGCGAAACAAAGACATCCCAGGTATTGCTAGCTCCTGGTTCATAAAGCCATAAGATATCCAAGATTCAGATATCCCTATTAGATGAGCACTAGTAACATTGCTAAGTTCACGTAGCTCATCCATTTTATTTGGTAAACTCGGTGCGACCATGTGTAAGCAGTTTATACTTTCATTTTGAAACGTGTGGGCTTCTTCCTGTTTGACTGTTTGAGCCTTACGTGAACGGACAGGTAGCCTACCTATATAATGTTTGCCGAGTTGGTAGGCCCTGTCCTTTACACGCTTTTTATCATCAAGACAGTCCACAAGTGGGGTCGTCAGCTCCAACTTGCTTTTGTCCTTGATCTTGGGGTCACGTGGCCTGTCCGGGTGCATGTGGATCCCAGTTGGCAACCGACGTCTGTTGGCACGAAAGGGAAAGGTTATCTTCATTAGCCGGGGTCTGGAGTCACCGTCCTTCTTGGCTAGTCTCGTCACGTGTTGAGTCAGTATGGTTTTAAGCCTCAAGGACTGTTTATCGAATTTCCATTCCCTGATATCGGAGTTTGCTTGAGTAGGGTCCGTGTTTTCCGGTACACCTTGCACAATTATATTCCTTCCACGGAAAAACTGCTCGCGAGATTCTTTGGGGATGTTCCGGACGAGATTGCGCTCAGAATACGGTACGTCGGGCAGTATTCTTACATTCCCATCGGATTTCAGAAAGTCGGTCTCATTCTTAAGTGTTGCACGAAGTAGCCTCGGGTGATTTTGATGCTTAGATTCCTTTCCCCGAGTGAGCCGTGTGACCGTCAAAGGCTCTAATTGTAAGATCCATTTTGAATGTTTTGTGTGTTTGTGAAAATCCCTCCATGTATTTACTTGCACTTTGTTCCTATTGATCCTCTTAGTTGTACATTGTCGTATTTTGATTACATTTGAGTTGTTAATACTTGTATTTTTTATTATAGTTTTTGTTTTTCTTACGCATTCACTAAGTTTGTGTTTCTTCCTGAACTGCATCTGTGTTGTTTTACTTGACACTTGTTCTTGGCGGTAGCCATATTGATTTGTTCCTCCTGTTGTGTGTGATCTATCCAGCCAGGATAGAATAACGTTGATTTGTTGTGATTGGTAAATTTCTTGCATCCTTTATCAACTTTCTTATTTATTGTAATTTAGATTTGATCAATTGAACAATTATTGGTTGGATAGCTGAGTGGTTATATTTGTTTAGGTAATAATGTACACTTAAATTTATGATAAATTATAGAACCGCTATCTTACCCAATTACTTTGTTTTGGTTTCAATCGGGCGAGGGCGCGTATCTAACTCATCCAGACAGCTGTCCAGCAGTCCAAACGTAGTTTGGATCTTACACTAATCTTAGAATTTCAAGTTTCTTGTTCAATTCTCCCCAGAGCATCCTCTCTTTTTTTTCTTGCAAACTGAGAGGAAGGTCAGTGTTGTCTTTGAGGTTCATGACTATGAAAGAGTCATCACGAACCGTTATTGTCGTCCTAGGTTTTCCGGTGCGTTCAGGTTTAGCACCTTGTTGTTTGGAGGTCGGAGCACGTTTCTGACTCCTAGGCTCTTTGATGACCGGACGGACATTCTTGGGGGTAGACTGTGCGACCAGATTACCAGCTGACTTCCTTTCAACAGCTGGGATGTTCAACATAGACTGTGTGACACCTGCTCCTTTTTAGCTCTTTTGACGTGGGTCCAATCACCTGCAGAGTTTTGGGGAACCACTATCTGTTCAAGGAACTTGAGCTGTGAGACCCGAGTTTGCTGAGGGATTCGAGTACCGTCGACTTAATGATGATGCTGAGTTTCAACGTGTCATCATTAGTGTTGTTGCATGCTCCGTCGATGGTAGACCTGTCAACATCCCTGTTCTTGTTTTCATTGCGCTCTCTTGTCTGTCTACCCATTTTTTGACTGTTTTTTCCCAAGTTTGCTGACAATTTGCTCTGCAGACCTGTCAGTAGGACAATGATATTACTCAGCAAGACTACAGCTTCCGTGCTGCACGTAGCACATTCCCACTTATGACCCGACTTGCTGAGTCTGTTGTAGGCAGTTGCTGTGAGATCTGTGCACGCTTCGTGGAACCAACCTTTGCAGTTGTCGCATTGCATGCCAGATGTAACAGCAAAACGGCATCCTGGTCGTTTTTCATGACTGTATTGACGTAAACTGTGTTGTAGATGCTAGCGAAAACATAGGACCGTAAAAAATACACTACAATGCACACTAAAACTGGACAAAAATGGATATAACGGATGAGATAAATTGAACCAGCCTCTACGTTAAAAACTGAAAAAAACCGGATGGTAAGCTGAGGCAAAACCACAGTTAACTATTAAATTGAGTGAAACTAAAAAAAAGTAATCTACCGAACGTGAGGCTCAGGATAGATTCT